TTGTCCTCATTTGTAAGTCGCTTTGGATAAAAGCGTCTGCTAAATGACTAAATAATAAAAAACGGAATAAATACATTTCATTACACCAAATACACAAAATAATGTTATTTTTAGCAACATCATATGACCCTTTTAAATCATCTTTGAGGGCAAGGGGGCCCCCTGGTGGTTGCCCTACGCAACTTGTGTACTTTGCGTATAGGGAGAGTAAAGCAGTACGGGTTATGACAGTGATTCTTTGTTATGCATTTACTGTTTGCGTGTGTATTTGTTTGACTACATACAGGTTGTGTTTCTCCGGGGCACGGGAGGGACATTTACCCAGCCTTCTTGCTATGATCCACTTTAAGCAGTGCACGCCGATTCCAGCTCTGCTCGTCTGTGTATGTGATTTTCAGTTTTTTGTTATCGCTAAAAGCCTCTCGTGTTGCTCAGAGTGCAACTTGTTCTATCTCTTAATTAACTTTATTCTTTCTCTATTTTTCCTCTTAATCTTATCTTTCAGTGCACTGCCACAATTGTGATCTTGTGCATTGGAGAAACTCACAACCTTATAAACTATGTCTCTTTCATCAACTACCTCTCTTACGGAGTCACTATTGCTGGCCTGCTCTACTACAGATGGAAGAAGCCAAACTTATACAGGCCCATCAAGGTATTCAATTACATACAAATATTATAAACAGTCTGTATGTGTGTATATGTCACATAATAAAGCACAATGGTGCTTTATACAGTCCAGTGCATCCAGCGGGTTCATGTAGTTTGCTGCATTCATCAGCAGGACAGTCACGGCCACATCGTGTTTAAGATCCAGCAGCTGGGTGAATATGAGAGTTTTAGGTTTTTTCTCTTGTCAGGTGAGTCTCCTAGTGCCGGTGTGTTACCTGCTCTTCTGGGCTCTACTGCTGGGCTTCAGTTTGCACTCGGAGCCGCTGGTGTGTGGAGTGGGGCTGGTCATTATGCTCACTGGAGTGCCTGTCTATTTCCTGGGAGTTTACTGGAAAGACAAGCCAAAATGTATATATGACTTCACTGGTAAGGAGACTTTTTTTTTTTTTGTAGAAAACAAAATGAGATATTTTGTAGAATGTTCATGCTGCTCTTTTCCATTCAGCTGCAAAAGTACAAACAAGTGGCAAATAAACATTATAAAGTAGTCCACATGACTCATGCACTATGTTCCAAGTCTTCTGAAGTCATATGATAGCTTTGTGTGATGAACAGCATTGTGAAAAAGAAGTAAACTTTTGCATATTTTAAAAAAGTGCTTATGGAAACAAAGTGTAAACTGTTTTCAGACACATAATTACATGTTATTTGCAGTAACAAGAAGAAGTTGCATAGCGGCAAACACATTATTTGCAATTAAATAAAAATACATCATAGTTCAAGTTTGTATTAAATGCCATTAGCCATTAGATTAATTTTTTTTGTTTGTTTATTTTTTCATATGGTTAAAGTGTACTACCAAATGTATTGACAAGCAATTATTTAAAATATTTACTTTGACATTATTACAAAGTGCACTTTTTAAAAGTCGACTTAAGTGTGTTAAGAAACGTAGTCATGAAAGTGTCTCTCTTTAAGTACACTTACTAAGTGGCTTTTAATTTCAGTAATATAATATCTATATCTACAAGAATAAAATAGTATCTACGAGTACAGTTTTGGAAAAAAAAAAATTATATATATATATATATATACTGTATATACATATACATATACATATATATATATATATATATATATATATATTTGTGTGTGTGTGTGTGTGTGTGTATGTGTGGGACCCAGGACCACAAAACCAGTCATAAGGGTCATTTTTTCCAAATTGAGATTTATACATCATCTGAAAGTTGAATAAATGAACTTTCCATTGATGTATGGTTTGTTAGGATAGGACAATATTTGGCCGAGATACAACTATTGGAAAATCTGGAATCTGAGGGTGCAAAAAAATCAAAATATTGAGAAAATCACCTTTAAATTTGTCCAAATGAAGTTCTTAGCAATGCATATTACTAATCAAAAATTAAGTTTTAATATATTTACGGTAGGACATTTACAAAATATCTTCATGGAACATGATCTTTACTTAATATCCTAATGATTTACGTTTATACATTTTTATATTCATATTCTTATATTTTATATTATATATATTTGATATATAAACATAGCATATTTTTCTTAAATATATACATGCATGTGTTTGTATTTGTATATACATAACAAATTTACACAGTACACACACAAATATTATGTAAACAAAAACTTTTATTATGGATGCAATTAATCGTTTGACAGCACTAATATATATATATATATATATATATATATATATATGTATATATATTGTGACTCGGTGTGTCCTTTTATTTTACACCTTTAACCTTATGATTATTCAGGTAGGGTAAGGATAGTCAAATCTAGCCTAAACCATTAAGTTTTCACCCGCCCGCAGGTTGGAGTCCTTCAGGAATGACGTAGAAGACTCCCTTGTGGTTGTTCTTGTTTGAGGCTCAGTTTGTAGTTATAAGTAAAGTACAAATAAAACAAAATCAGCTAAGCTACGAGCTCTGTAATCAAACTCTAAACAGCAATATTGGAGATGCTGTTAAGCGCCCCTCGTTAGGGTATCAGGTGTCCTTCACGCTTAATTCAGGCAGCATCTGAAGAGTAGCTAACTCCTCAGACCTTTTATACTACTTTTGGGGTAATTCCAATTACATTTCAATGTCTGTGACTCATGATGAATGTCCTTCCTCTGTCGCTTACCTTGCTGTCTGCGTCTAGCACTCTTCCTTTCCTTCATCGTAGTCTTCGTCTGGCTCATCTCCGCTTGAAGTTGAAACATGCTCTCTTCACCCCTGTGTACCCTCTTGATAACCTTTGTGGTTGATTACATAGCATCAAACTCATAAGCCTAACTTTCACAGCTGTTGCTTATTCATCCTAACAAAGCAAATATTGCAAGTGCAAGCATCTTTATATCAAGGCATATATGGCATTAACCTAAAAACAAGCAAATAACATATCATTGAAACAGGTAAATAGCAATATCCATATCCAAAACAGTATATATATATATATATATATAATCAGGGGCGTTTCCTCCGAGTAGGCAAGGGATGCAGTGTCTCCTCAAAATATTGGATGAGAATAAAAAATTCATAGTACAAAAATAAAACAACACCCATATTACAAAATATAACATTAAAAGGTGTATAAATCACTTGTTTTTCTAAAGTAACGCTGGCCAACAGCGACACCAGCAGGTAAAGTAACAGTGTACTTTCTCGCTTCCCCTGAGCCCATTGAGTTTTAACAGACCCCCTAAAGCGTGCTGTGAGTTTGGTGGGGAGTAATTGAGAATGAATGGGGGAAAGTCACGTGAGAGGAGACAATGCCTCCATCGCGATATGATTGGATATGACTGGTTATGTTCGGCTGTGATTGGTTCATGCGATAAATCCCGCCTCTTGTGTTCCTACGCGTTACGCGAATCAGTCTGAATGAAAATATAATGGCGTTAATGGGAAGACTAATTTAGAAAAGTAAGTAAAGAACTCACACGCTTAGATTTAACCACTTTGTTACGTCAAAATAAGACTTGAAATGGCATGAAAACATGATCTGTGTGAGTTTTTAGTGAGTACTCAGCTTGGTGAAATTTAAAACAAATCTCCGCGTCTGTGACCAATATTTACCGAGCTTTGATGTCTGATGATCTGAAAAATTCAAAAATAGTTAAAAGTTAACTATTAAAAAGAATAGCTAAACATAAGTTCACAGATAAAATATATTGTTTGAATTATACTGTTGTGAGTTATTTTAATGAATGTAAAATGCTTAAAAACACTAACTTGATGAGATTAATACATGGCTTTAATAAATAGAATATTGATTACATTGTTGTTAATGTAAAAACATGAAATATAATTTTTTTTTTTTTGATAGTGTAAGTAATGTTTATTTAACCAAGAAAATGTGAATTTACATTTTGATATATAAAAAACTTTGCCTCCTCATTTATATATATATACTTTTAGGATTTTAAGTACACTAGCACTTGAAGTACACATTCAATTAAGTGCATTTATTTTTCACAACTGTGGAAGCAAATGCTTTTAGTGAATAACAACTTAATTTTATGTCTGTTTCTCATGCAAAGATATTATATGACTTCAGAATAGTTAAATACACATTGGATGAGTTGTATGGTTTGTAAAGGCATATGGGTGAGTAAATGATGACAGAATTAGTTTTTTTTTTGGTGGGGGTGAACTATTTACAACCATGAAATTATGTGTACATATGTCATCTTTGTTACAGAGTGGGCTACATATCTGGGACAAAGAGTGTTTTTTGTTGTTTACCCACAAATCGATCCTATTGAAGCGGCAGAATGGACTGACAAATCTTCCTTCACAAGCAAAGCTTCTGGACCTCTCTGAATTTTGCATTACTTTAATTTGGCAGCTCTTTACTTAAAATCCACAATTCCCAGGCTTGTAGTAGTAGTAGTAAAAAAGAAATGAAACAATAACTGCCTCATTTGTTTAAATGGGGACTATGCTTGAGTGGGTTTAAATGGTACTGTTTCAGCTATTATGGATTGTGTACTGCACTGGGTATTGCTCACTTTTTGGTTAGGTGTGTTATTTCTACTGCAGAAAACTGTTTTAAAACCCTATAATTTACTACTGGGGTTCATTTGCAAATGGCCTGTGTTGATACATGTACAGAATCGTTCCTCTCTTTTGTATGATACTTCACCTGTGATGCCTTTCCAACCACATAACAATTTATACAGGCACTGCACGCCTCACTGGTGTAAATACATTTAAAGTGTTTCTAACAATGCTCACTCTCCACAGTTTTGGTCTTTATTAGTCTGAAAATATATCGTTACTTGCAGGCAATTTTTTTTTTCTTTAACCCCCTTGGTGAAGAGCTTTTTTAGCCATCAAAACAAAAATTGTTAGACAATAAGAAAATAAATAATACATTTATTGAGGTTTATGCTTAAAAAGTGAAAATAAGTTTGGAACAAGACAAAATCCAATTCAAGATATACAGTGCCGTGAAAAGGTTTTTGCCCCCTTCCTGTTTTTTTTATTTTTTGCATATTTGTCACACTTAAAAAGATTCAGATCATCAAACCAATTTTAATATTACGCAAAGATAATGCAAGTAAATACAAAATGCAGTTTTTAAATGATAATTTCATTTATTAAGGGAAAAAAGCTGTCCAAACCTGCCTGGC